TTTTTTTTTAGAGACAGGGTCTCGCTATGTTGCCCAGGCTGGAGTGCAGTGGCTATTCACAGGCACGATCCCACTACTGATCAGCAGGGAAACCTGCTCTGTTTCCAACATGGGGCGGTTCACCCCTCCTTAGGTAACCTGGTGGTCCCCAGCTCCCGGAGGTCCCATATTGATGCCAAACTTAGTGCAGACACCCAATCAGCATAGTGCACTACAGCCCAGAACTCCTGGGCTCAAGCGATCCTCCCACCTCAGCCTCTCGAGTAGCTGGGACTACAGGCACGCGCCACCGCACCTGGCGAGTGCTCTTTAACTTTAAGCCAATTTGGTAGCTGTGGCCAAAAACACATAAGAAAATATGTGTGCATATACATAAACACACACATACATGCTCATCCAAAGATCCTATAGCTTTCACTTCAGAATGCTAGCCATGAGATATTAACACAAACTCACCGGTTTGCAAAAACAAAAACAAAACATTGGATCCAAATAGTGGTTTTAGTCTCAATAGAAAAGTAACAGCCTATTTAAAGCAGGCAGAAAAGAAAGCAGAGAACTTACGAAGCTCTAGCTGCAGTCAGCCTTTGGGATCTGTAATTTGCTCATCAGTTTAAAATGTGCACAGAAAGACCATAATATGCAAGCAGCTAGCGTGCTATAAAATCCAAGATGCCCTGGAACTTTTCCATTTTACACAAACACTTGCAAATAGAGGCACATAACACCAACGGGGTCCCCAAAAGGGGCCGTTCTCTTTGTCTTTCCTCAGTCTTAGATCGTTTCCCTCGACATCGTTTTTTGTTTTTTTTTTTGAGACAGAGTCTCACGCGGTTGCCCAGGCTGTAGGGCAGTGGCGCGATCTCGGCTTACTGCAATCTGTGCCTCCTGGGTTCAAGCATTGCTCCTGCCTCAGCCTCCCTAGTAGCTGGGACTATAAGTGGACACCACCACGCCTAGATGATTTTTTGGTATTTTTAGTAGAGACGGGGTTTCACCATGTTGGCCAGGATGGTCTCCGTCTCCTGACCTTGTGATCCACCCACCTCAGCCTCCCAAAGTGCTGGGATTACAGGCGTGGGCCACCGCGCCTGGCCGCCCTCCCTTTTTTTTTTTTTTTTTTTTCACTTAAAAGGTGGAGCTGAGCTGTGGCCTAGGGTTTAGTGCGGTGGATTGCTGCGTGCTGGTTGTGGGTGGGACTCCACAGTTTAGTGCTGAGCTGTCTCAGTTCCTCTGATTAACCCTGCAAGACACCCCCACTTGGCTCCCGGTCACTCAGGAGCACCTTTTGGCTAGAAGGAGCAAAATGCCTTCTCTTCAGAGCTGTAGAAGTTCAGTGTCTCATTCATCTACAAAACGACAGCTCAGTTCCTCATGGAAACACACAGATAAGCCAATTAAGCTTAATTTTGGAAGAAAACAGAAGACCTTCAGAATGAACTTTCAAACTAGAATTAGGATTGTAAACAACCATTTCTTAGGAGAAAAAAAAAAAACCTCAGAAGAAACCAAGGAACATCAACTAAAGGGACGTCCGAGCTCGGGAGGACTCACTGGTTCCACCGGAGAAGCTCAAGGTCAGGGAGGCTGTCCATGAGCCCCTGCTGGTGCCTTAGCTCCGAGTCTGGGCAACTCCTTTGGGGTCCCGAGTCTCCTCTGAGGCCCCAGGTTAGGTGCCAAATTACTGTCTACCAAGCGTCAAACTCTGTAAAATATTTCAAGAGATTGACTCTGAGCCAAATGAGTTACCCATGGCCCATGATGCCACCTAAGGAGATCCTGGGAACATATGTCCATGGTGCTCAGGTCACAATTTGGTTTTATACATTTTAGGGAGACATGAGGCATCGATCAATACATGTAAGATGCATGTTGGTTTGGTCCAGAAAGGTGGGACAACTGGAAGTGGGGGCTTCCAAGTCATAGGCAGATTGAGGGATTTTCTGACTGGCGGTTGGTTGAAAGAGGTATCAGGAAAGTGTGGGCTAGGACAAGGGTGTGGAGACCAAGGTTTTATTATGCAGATGAAGCCTCCTGGTAGCAGACTTCAGCGAAAATAGCTTGGAAACGTTTCTTATGAGACTTAAGAGTCTGTTCTATCAGTAATTCCAAAACGGAGGCGGATGTAATAAGGCATGTTGAGCTCATGGCCATGTCTTCATGGCCTGAACAACTTTTCAGCTTAACTTGGGAATGCCTTTAGCTGAGAGGAGGGGCCCATTCAGATGGTTGGGGTGTGGGGGGGGCCTTAGAATTTTATTTTTGGTTTATAGGACCTGGCTTATCTTCTAGTTGAACAAGGAGGGGTTCGTGCAGTGAGAAAGCACACCTGTTGTTCTTCCATCAACAATTCAGAACTAGCGTAACTGCAAGTTCAAAAGATTCACCAGCAGGCCACCTGGCTACACAGTTTTAATAACCCCACTGCTCAAACCATCTGAGACTCCCTCAAAGGATACTACAAAGTGTGACATGGCTCCTATCTTTCCTGGGACCTTTAATAGCTACCGTATTACCACTAATCTTCGGTCCTTGCTTGTTTAACCTCCTTGTAAAGGTCGTGTCTTCCAAGTTGCAACAGTTGCACATCAAAACAATGGTCATGCAAGCATTTCAATCAATCCTTGTCTCAGATTCAGACTCTTCTGATGACCCACCTTGGGACCCCTTAGACCAGGCAGCCAGAGATTTCCGTGCCGTCACTGGACAGGGCCAATGCCCCCAGTCCGCAGGAAGTGGGTGCAGAAGACTGGCCTCCTCCCGCATCACCCTGAAGAATAAGGGATGGCAACCTCTGAGGAGGGGAAAAGGAGGCAGGACTAACGCAGAGTGGTTGCAGGAGAACAGAAGATTCCAGGCAGTGGTTTCACATGACTGGAGCTATGGGCTGATAAGACCCTGAGCAGCCAGGCTGTGGGCCCAGCTAAGACTGACCGAATCCAACATGGCGCTGGATGTGACCTAGTTTCACTTACGATCTCGTTACGTGCTCACTGACACCCTAAATCACACACCCACCAGCACCATGACATTTCCAGGAACACCTATATTTGGTGTAAAAGTGGGTGGCAGCACAGTTCTAAGAAATCTCCACCTTTTGCCAGGGAGCTTCATGCATATTCCATCCCTTGGTTAAAGCAACCCATGGATGTAACAGTGCCAACTCCCTTGGCATATGTGTCTGTTCCGAATTTAACCATAACCCCTTTCTTGAGTGTGGGCTTTTTGCTTTGCAATAAGCCTCTGTACTTTCAAAAAACCAAAGCCAAAACAAGCAAACTAAAACGGCTCCTCCCCGGCACTGCAGAGAGAGCCCCGCCCACGCGTGGATTTTGGACCCATGCTTTCAGATGAGTAAATTTTTGTGTGTTTCAGCTTTATGTTGGTGACAATTTGTTGCAGCAGCCCCAGGAGGATGCTACACAGTGCATGACAAAGTGTCTACAATGGTTTTATTTTACATTTTATTTTTTTTTTTTTGAGAGAGAGTTTTGCTGTGTCACCCAGGCTGGAATGCAATGGTGTGATCTCGGCTCACTTCAACCTCTGCCTCCCAGATTCAAGGGATTCTCCTGCTTCAGCCTCCCGTGTAGCTGGGATTACAGGCACACGCCACCATGCCTGGCTAATTTTTTGTATTTTTGGGTTTTATCATGTTGTCCAGGCTGGTCTCAAACTCCTGACCTCAAGTGATCCGCCTCCCAAAGTGCTGGGATTACAGCTAAGGCCTCCACACCTGGCCTCCTTTACATGTTTACAATTGCCATTTAGTTGAGCATATTTTAATTTATTTATAGTCTCTGCAGGCTTCTTGCCAGCTCAGTTTAACAAAATCAAACCAAACAGCTTATTGAGATGGAATTCATATCCTATACAACTCACCCATTTACAGCGTACAATTCAGTGGTTTGGAGGCAGTGGCCTCCCTAGTGGCCAGAACCCATCTGCTGCTCTTAGACGGGCCCTAGGACTCTGTCCTGTATCCCCTTGCCCCAGCCCTGAGGTCCCTTCCTAGTGTCACGTTGGTATTCACATCTTTAGCTACCGAAGACTCCAGGGCCAGGGCTTGGTAGCAGGCGTGGCCCCTGCCCGGCTGGCTTCAGTCACAATAAAGGGTTATCTCAGACGTCCATCCTGCCTATCAGGGCCTGCACCCTCTGCCAAGAGACTCTCTACAGACATCTGCGGGGTCTGTCCTTGGTCCCAGCTCGGGGGAAGGTGGGGTGGGGATAGGATCAGGCTATCCATGAAGGACCATGGTGGGACCTGAGCTCATTCTGCTCTCTGGAACCTGGAAGGTTCTCAGCAAATACTTGTGGAAACAGTAGCAGGCAACACTCCTGATTTTGTGCCAGGAGCTGTGATCTTCCTTTTCCATTCTCACGTCTCCCACTGTGACCCTCTGAAGAACCATGACAATTAGGTGTTACTGTTGCTTCCAAAAGGCTCAGAGAGGTTAAGTAACTCACCCACAGTTGCAAAGTAAATAAATAAACCAATAAACAGTGCCCCTTCCTAGAGCTCCAGGTGCTGCCGCCCATCAAGGGTCTCTCAGCAAAGGTCTCCGCCCCTTCCTCTGCCCTGAGTATGCCAGCTGGGCACATTGAGTGTGGAAATAGAACCACAGTTGCTCATCTTGACCTGCGCACCCTGAAGAGTGTGGAAGAGGAGAGGAGGGAGGTGAAGATTTCGCATAGAGACCCTTGGTGGGGCCATGGAGGGCATGGGACCACTGTTGCTGGGGGCTCTGAGGGCTTCCTGGAGGAGGCAGCATTTGCTACCAGGGTCCTGCTGATATTTTCATCCTGTGACCTTCCCCTGGGGGACGTTTTTTCTGATGAGGTAACTCCCTGCTAGCCCATTCTAGTAAAAACGCAGCAAAGTTTCAGACAACCTGGAGTTGACCAACCTGTTCCCAAGCCGGCGGTGCAGTGTGGCTCCTGGGGGCAGGGTCCTGGATGAGCAGGGCAGATACAGAGCAGTGTATGTCCTGGCAGTGAGAACAGGGTAGGTGTGGGAATTAGGAGGTGCAGCCCTGCCCTGCAGCTGTTGGGTAATCCTGAGTATCAGCCCATTGTCAGGCGTGGGCACTGGAGGTGGGTCGGAGCTGCCAGGCTCCCGGGAGGATTGCAGTCAGCAGAGGAGGGCTGAGGACTGGGGGTAGGAGCGGAGCTGGCACATCAGGAGGCAGCATGTCCAAGAAAGGGGGTGGAAGTGCGGTGAAGGACCCAGGAGCAGAGCCCACGCTGGGGTACGTGGGACCACAGGGGCGAGGGCCGGCTAGGGGGGCTCCAGGTACAGTGCAGGTTTTACCTGGTGGGGTACATTGGTGGAGACCAGGAGCATGGAGGGAAAGGGAGGTTTGGCCATGGCATGTGGGTCGGGGGTGAGCCCACTAAGGGGCTAGCGCTGCAGGGTGACGGGGCCATGAGCATAGGGCTTGCTCGGGAGAGGGAGGTAGGCACTGGTGTCTTCTGAGCCTCACTTTCCCCTGTGGCAGGCTCCTGGGAAGCACTCAGGAGTGCTGAAGAAGCCTATTCCCCAGAAGCCCCAGGGATGGGGACAGACCCCGTCCTTCCTTTGAGGGGCTCCCAGGCTAAGGGAGAAGGCAGATTTATGGACAGACGACCAGGGGCACCAGGGCTGGGACCAGGATGTGAATCGGGGATTGGAAGCAGTGCAAGTGCAGATGAGGCCACCGGCCTCCAGGGCACCCACCGCGGATGCTAAGGCCCTGCTTGCCACTCACCCCCCCGCCTCACCAATGCAGGTCTGAGGCAGCAGCCCCGGGCATAGCCCTGTGACCTGCTGCCAAGGCTGAGGTAGCGCAGATCCACACCCAGATGCACATATGACACACATAGACACAGACACCCACACACACACAAAAACACAGACACCCCACACACACACAAACACACAGACACTCCCCCACACACAGACACACAGACATCCACAGACACAGACATCCACAGATAAACATACAGACACGCAGACACCCACACACAAAAACAGACACCCATACACACACAGACATCCACAGACACACAAACACATAGACACCCACACACAAAAACACAGACACACACACACAGACAACCCCCACACACAGACACACAGACACCCCCCACACACAGACACACAAACACACAGACACTCCCCCACACAGACACACAGACATCCACAGACACAGACACCCACAGATAAACATACAGACACGCAGACACCCACACACAAAAACACAGACACCCCCACACACACAGACACACACACAGACAACCCCCACACACAGACACACAGACACCCTCACACACACAGACACACAAACACACAGACACACACACACACAGACACACAGACATCCACGGACACACAGATACCCACAGATAAACATACAGACACGCAGATACCCACACGCACATAAACACACAGACACCCATACACACACAGACATCCACAGACACACAAACACACAGACACCCACACACAGACAGACACAGACACCCACAGACACACACACAGACACCCACACAGACACACACCTGCACACACACAGACACCCATACACATACAGACATACAGACACACTCACACATAAACACACAGACACATATACACACACAGACACACAGACATCCACAGATGCACAAACACATAGACACCCATACACCCACAGGCACACAGACACCCATACACACACAGACACACACCCATACACACACAGACACACAGACACCCATATATACACAGACACCCACATACACACACAGACACTCACAGACACACAGACATCTATACACACAGACACACAGATATCCATACACACACACAGACACCCAGACACACACACAGACACACAGACACCCATACACACACAACCATACACACACACGCAGACACCCAAACACACAGACACACAGACACCCATACACACAGATATACACTCAGACACTTATACACACAAAGACATACACAGACACCCATACACACAAAGATACACAAAGACACAGACACACAGACACCCATATACATGAAGACATAGACACCCATACACACAAAGACACACAGACACCCAAAGACACACAGATAGCCATATACACAGACACACAAACACCCTGACACCCATACACACAAAGACACACAGCACCCATACATACAGACACACAGAGACACACAGACACCCATACATGCAAACACACCCAAAGACAGACACCCATACGCACAGAGACACACACATAGACACACAAAGATATACAAAGACACAAAGACACGCAGACACATGGATACACAAAGACACAGGATTTGCAAGCCATTCTTCAGTCCCTGGGTTGGGGTGCTCAGACTCCCCCCTTGCTGGGGCCTGGCAATCCTCCTAAGTGTCCCCCTGGGCCCTTCCCCTACCCCATGGTCCTGATCTCTCCTCCTCTCTGGATCCCACTGGGGTTCCCTTGGGCCTCAGGCTAAAGCCCAGAGAGGTTCACGCCCTGGGGCAGTCTCCTCTCTGCCATCCTACCCCAACCTGCCACTTGTGCCCATGGATGCCAGCCCCGGAGCTTTCTCCTCCGCTTCTGTTTCCTTCCAGGACCAGCTGAGTGCCACCTCCCTCCCCAGAGCACGTGCCAAACCCTCCTCAGCGCTAGGGCACGCCTATGGCTTCAGTTTCCCCATCTGCGACCTCAAAGCTCTGTGATTTCTGACGCAAAGACCCCTCCGAGTTCCTCGTTTAGTCCCAGAAGGGAGGAAGACCTAGGGGAGACCCTGTTCCATCTGGGTGGTCTGGGTGAAGGGGTGGCCAGTGCCAGTGTGGGGGGGTATGTGTCTGTGCAAGGAGGGGAGGAGCAGGGAAGAGCTGGGATGGCGGGCAAAGGAGTCACCCGAGGTGTGGGGTGTGCTGGACTTCCAGGGTGCCAAGACGGGAAACTCCTCCTTGGAGTGGGGGAGGTCAAGCCCAGGGCCCTCCTTCATGGGTGCGCCTGGGAGGCAGGTGAGCGGAGGGGGTGCAGGCAGCCCCAGCCCCCGTGGGGTCATTCTGTGTGTGTATGAGGTGGGGGTGCCTGTGAGCTCCCATGGGTGCAGCTGGGGCAACGGTGTGCAGACCCTGGTGTGGCTGGAGGGTGCCCATGAAGGAGGGATAGCCCTGGCCACGCAGTTCATGCCGCACCGTCTGGCAGGACGAACCCCTTTGAGGACACACTTCGGCGGCTGCGGGAGGCGTTCTGCTCAGGGTGCACTCGGCCGGCCGAGTTCCGGGCTGAGCAGCTCCGGGCTCTCGGCCGCTTCCTTCAAGAAAACAAGCAGCTTCTGCACGACGCGCTGGTCCAGGACCTGCACAAGGTGGGCTGCGGAGGGTGGGCGCAGGCAGGGGCTGGAACATCATCCCTGTCCTTCGGGAGCGTCCACGCCCCCAGTGACTGGCTGTGTCCCTAGTTTTATTCCCGTTCAACAGACCCCCCCTGTGACAGGCACCCGACCTCCACTCATAACACTCACGGCCACCCTGTGATGCAGGCCCCACGTTGCAAATGGGGAAACTGAGGCACTCAGGGGTTAAAGTCACTTGCTTGCCAAGGCCACACAGCCAGGAAGTTGCAGATCAGAATTGCAGCCATGTGCAGTTCCCAGGGGACCGCAGCGCCTCCCATAGGAGCTGTCTTTATGTATCTGGTGGGGGTGGTGCGTGCGTGTGCCCCCCTCAAATCCTAGACCCCTCCTGGGCCAGCTCTGGGCCTGACCACTCAGCATTCCACCTCCACCACAGTCAGCCTTCGATTCAGACATATCTGAGCTCATCATTTGCCAGAATGAGATCAACCTCGCTCTCAAGAACCTGCAGGCCTGGATGAAGGACGAGCCAGGGTCCACAAACTTGGTGAGCCATGCTGGCAACGGCAGGAGGGCAGCGCAGAGCACTGGGCAGCTCTGCCCCAGGCCGCTTCCTGCCCCCGAGCCTGGGCAAGTCACTGACTTTCTCGTTTCTCCTGGGACTCCGTTGCACAGGGAGCTGAGGCCACAAGTGTGCGGTGGGTAGGTTTGGGTGTGGCCCTTGGCAGGGTCTCACGTCTGCCCTGTGCCCCAGTTCACAAAGCTGGATTCAGCCTTCGTCCGGAAGGAACCCTTTGGCCTGGTCCTCATCATTGCACCCTGGAACTACCCCGTGAACCTGACCCTGGTGCCCCTGGTGGGCGCCCTCGCCGCAGGTGAGGAGGGGGTTCTGAATTCCTCCCTGCCCAGCAGCCATTCCCAAAGAGGCCCCCAGAATTCTGCCTATGCAACACGCTCGGCCTCATGTGCCCTCCCAGCCCAGACCCTGGGTGGGTGTGGGGACTCTGGCTCCCCCAGTGATGGCCACATCTGCCCCTGCAGGAAACTGCGTGGTGCTGAAACCATCAGAAATCAGCCGGGGCACAGAGAAGGTCTTGGCTGAGGTGCTGCCGCAGTACCTGGACCAGGTGAGGGCGGCCCTGCCCTGGCAGCTCCCGGCGCCCCCACGCCTTACCCCTGTGGGCTGAGGATGCCCTGCTGGCCCCGGAGCCTGCCCCTGAGCCGCCCGTCCTGCTTTGCAGAGCTCCTTTGCTGTGGTGCTGGGCGGGCCTGAGGAGATGGGGCAGCTGCTGGAGCACAAGTTTGACTATATCTTCTTCACAGGTGAGGGGGCCAGGCCAGGGTCCCAGAGGAGGCAGAGGGAATAGCAGGGGAAAGGGCCGGAGGGCTGTGGAGGGAGGGGCTGGGGCCAGCAGTGGGGGCGCGTGGGAAGCTGGAGCTGGCAGAGGCCAGGCCCTGGTCACATTGGAGGAACTGGACCCTGGGATGGCCGGGCTGGAGGCAGGTCCCAGTGGGTGAGGCAGAACCAGCCAAGAGAGGTGGGAGGCAGGCCAGGACTTGGGCTGTGAAGGGTTTCTATGAAGACAGTGGGCAAGCCCGCCGACTCCACCACCTCTCCAGGGAGGAGCGGGGCCCTGAGCTGGGCCGTCTCACCTGATCCAGGTCACTGAACAGCCACTCTGGTTCCCTTCCATGCCCAGGGAGCCCTCGTGTGGGCAAGATCGTCATGACCGCCGCCGCCAAGCACCTGACACCCGTCACCCTGGAGCTGGGGGGCAAGAACCCCTGCTATGTGGATGACGACTGCGACCCCCAGATCGTGGCCAACCGCGTGGCGTGGTTCCGCTACTTCAACGCCGGCCAAACCTGCGTGGCCCCTGACTACCTCCTGTGCAGCCCTGAGATGCAGGAGAGGCTGCTGCCCGCCCTGCAGAGCACCATCACCCGTTTCTATGGCGACGACCCCCAGAGCTCCCCAAACCTGGGCCGCATCATCAACCAGAAACACTTCCAGCGGCTGCGGGCACTGCTGGGCTGCGGCCGCGTGGCCATTGGGGGCCAGAGCGACGAGCACGATCGCTACATCGGTGAGTCCCGCTGCCTCCGCCACAGTCCACATGGGCCGAGACCCCTCCTCACTGGAGGGCCCACAGCTGGGCCATGAATCTGGGCCCGCACCTGAAACCTGGCCCCACTGCCAGAGCCCAGCCTTGAGCCACAGCTCCGGTGCCACTAATCTGTCTCTGTGCTTCTGAGCCTGTGGCCCCATGAGGCCAAACTCTGGTCCCTCAGCCCTGGATTCACTGAGCTCGGACCCTGGGCTCCAGGGCCCACCGTGCTAAGATGAACTCCCGTCCCACCACCCGCTGTCCTGAAAGGCCATGACCTCAGATTCTCTGAGCCCACGATCCCCAGGTTCCAAACTCCGATGGCCCCATCCTGAGCCCCCCGGTCTCCTGGGCCGTATAGCTCAGCAGCTCACGGGACACTGCGGCTCCAACATTCTTGGACGCTGTCGCCTCATGAACTCCAAGGTTCTGAGATCCCATCACTCCTGACTGTGGGACCAAGGTCGGGGGACTCTCTGGGTCCCACAGGCCCTGGGCAGGCTGGGGAAGCCCTAGGGTCTCTTCTGGGGGCTTTGGGGAGACTTTCTTCCTTAGACACTCCAAATCCTGGAGCCCTGGGAAGTCAGACCCCAGGATCCTGGCCTGGAGCCCTGGCCCTTGGTCCTGTCCCCATTGCTACCCCCACCCCTGGGGGCTGTCCTGACTGTGGCCCCCGGGCTGAGCCATCTCTGGTGCCCGGCAGCCCCCACGGTGCTGGTGGACGTGCAGGAGGCGGAGCCGGTGATGCAGGAGGAGATCTTCGGGCCCATCCTGCCCATCATGAACGTGCGGGGCGTGGACGAGGCCATCGAGTTCATCAACCGGCGGGAGAAGCCCCTGGCCCTGTACGCCTTCTCCAACAGCAGCCAGGTGGGGGCGCGGCCGGGCTGGGGGCAATGGAGGGGCTGAAAGGGGCACAGATGGCCCCTGTCCTTTCACAGTCCTTCCCAGGAAGGCTTTGGGGCAGCAGATGCCTCAAGGGTAACTATATCTAGGCCACCTGGTAACACTGCATCCGGCGAGGATGCCTGGCAGAGGGGGTATGGTCCAAACCCACCAGGCACGTGGTGGGCCCGCCCTCTGTCCAGGCCGGAGCAGCCTGCACCCGGACTGTGCCAAGGTTCTGCACGGGCAGCAGAGGCCCTGAGTGGAGATCAGGGACAGGGCAGAGCCAGGGCCTGATAGCCAGAGCCCAGCGGGTCGTGGTGGGGCCTGCACCCTACGGCAGCATCCCAACCTCACGACACAACTCAAGGCCACTGGCTCCCTGCGGTCCTGCAGGGTTTCCTGGTCTTTGCACCATGGTGGTAATCACCCCCACAGCACCCCGACCCTCACAGCACCCCAACCCTCACTGAGAGGGTGCTGTCCCCACAAGCTGGGTAGAGCAGAGATGATTGCCTATTAGAGGGTGGAGGGACAGGCGAGGATGAGGTGGGCCTCCTCCGCCTCCGCTGTGGAATGGGCGGGGCTCAAGCCCTCTTCCCATGACTGGAGCCCACTGCCCCCCTTCCCACTCCGCGGCAGGTTGTGAACCAGATGTTGGAGCGGACCAGCAGCGGCAGCTTTGGAGGCAATGACGGCTTCATGTACATGACTCTGCTGTCCCTGCCCTTCGGGGGCGTTGGTGAGTCCCTGCCCATTTCCACCCTCAGCAAAGCTTGGGTTTGGTACCCCAGACCCAGGAAGTCCCTTCACTCACTGTTCAACCTTGATCCGGGCCCTGGGCCTCTCAAGGCCTCAGTTTCCCTCTCTGTAAAATGGCTCAGTGAATGGCCTGGCTCTCTCTGAGCTCCCTGCCAGCTGTGGGCCCCTGGCTAGGCAGTGGGCTGCTGCTGAGGCTGCGTGGGTGGCCTGGCTCAGGCCCTCGCTCTCTGCGCCCACACAGGCCACAGCGGGATGGGCCGGTACCGTGGCAAGTTCACCTTCGACGCCTTCTCCCACCACCGCGCCTGCCTGCTCTGCCCCGCTGGCCTAGAGAACTTGAACAACATCCGCTACCCGCCCTATTCTGACAGGGTGCAGCAGCTGACGCGCTGGGCCCTGGGCTCCCAGAGCTGCACCCTCCTGTGAGCGCCCCGCTCACCTCCAACGGGTTGCACAGAGAAACCTGAGTCTAGTCCTGAGGGGCTCTGTGCCCCCCAACTCACATTGTTCCTGCAGACCGCGGGCGTCCCCAGCCTGAGGTTGGTGGAGCTGTCACATGACTGCGTCCTGGCTGCCAGAGTTGAAAGCGAGGTCTTGCTTCTATCTGGGGGACGCCGTTAGTTCGAGAGAGGCCAAGAGGCCGAAAAACATGCCAAGTGTCCGCACTCACCCCACCCTCCCCAATTCCAGCCCTTTGCTCTCTCAGTCACGGTTGGCCAGGCCCAGTCCTGGGACAGCATTTCCCTGGGAAAGACAGTGCCCGGCCTTCTTAGGGGCAGCAGCACTGCAGGGTTCAGAGCGTGGAGCGCTCTCCTCTAGGCACGCACAGGTCCACCTCTGCCCCTTCCCAGCGGCACCGGCGCCGCCTCCCCCAGGGACCCTCTCACATCTCCACTGGTCTCTGCACCACCCATCTGGCTCACACCACACCCTGCACTCACCCGCAGCAGCTGCGTCCACTGGGAAAGCTGGGTTCTGCCTCACTCCACTGCGCAGCGTTACTGGGGCCTGTGGCAAGTCCCTTGACTTCTCTGAGCCTCAATTTCCTTATGTGAAAGTTGCTGGAACCAAAATGGAGTCACTTATGTCAAATGCTAACAAAATGGAGTCAGGGAGGTCACAAAGAAGCCCTCACACACACATGCCCATAACAGGATTTTTCACAAGACACTCCTGCACTTAGACAAGACACAGGGCATACCGAGAGCATGTTCTCAAGCCTACAGCATTCCCGGTGAGCTGCAGACGCTTGCCTAGCACGGCTTTCTCCACTGCCAACACCTGCAATCAGCTTGTGACCTATGAACCTTGTTTCAAAGCCGCTTACATGGACTTCTGTCTTTAAAAGCTTCCCCGTGGCTGTGGCCCCCAGTATATGGCTGGGATCCGTCCTCACACTCCTAGCCCAGTTGCAATCCTCTGGTCTTCCCAAATAAACTCATCTGTTCTGGAGAGCCTGTCTCTCTGAGGTTGAACTTACCTTGTAGAATGGGGTCTCCACACATCTTGATCATAAAGGAAATCTCAGATTTAGAACTATGTGGCCTAGTCTGCTGTCAAACTCTGGGCTCAAGCAGTCTACCTCGGCCTCCCAAAATGCTGGGATTACAGGCGTGAGCCACCATGCACAGCCCACATTTCTAAAATATGGTATTTCAGTCCAAACCTTGGTAATATAATCGCTGTTTCTAATTGTATCCTGCTTACAGAGAGCAGGGATTTTTTCTTTTTTTTTTGCTGATCTTATATAAATAAGAATATTCATTAATAGTTTCTGAATTTTGTAGGAATCAAATAGGAGAAAAAGTGAATCCTTCCACCTTTGTTCACAAAGGACACTTGGTCAAATTATTGCAAATGTCAACCCAAAGAGTCAGACTCTGTACAATATTTGAAGAGATTTATTCTGACCATGGCCCGTGACACGGTCCTTAGGAGATCCTGAGGACATAAGCCCAAGATGGTCGGGTCACAGCTTGGATTTATACATTTTAGGGAGACATGAAGCATCAATCAATACGTGTAAGATCTATGTTGGTTTGGGCCAGAAAGATTGGACAACTCAAAGCTTGGGCCACCGTCCTCCAGCCTGGGCAACAGAGTGAGACCAAGACTCAAAAATAAAGAATAACCATGAGTGACTAAAGCCCGGAACAGCCAGGCAGAGATCTGAAGACGGTTCACAATTGACAGGAGGCTTAAGCATTTCCACAGCACACAAACGCCCGACACAATGATCATAGCCAGGGGATGGATCTTGGCATATCGGAGTTTTAGGACTCTCAATTTCCCATGTTTTAGTGACACACTTACACAGACATTACTTAAAGGAAGTTAAACACCATTTCTATTTGGCAATGCTTCCTGTATTACTTACCAAATAAGCCTGATCATTTAATATCTCCACAAGATGAGATGTATAAACTTTGAGGCATTGCAGGAGGCCCTTCTGGAAGAATCTCAAAGTTGATTTTAGGCCGGATGGCTTAATTTAGGATTTGGATCCTGGGAAAACCTTCTAAAGATGTCAGAAAGTTCAAATGACTTCGTTCAACCAAATCAGAGATCACTGCTAAATAATAGCTACTCATTTAACCACAGTGACAATCAAAAGACTTCAAAAGCAAGTCCGGGCGCGGTGGCTCACGTTGTAATCTCAGCACTTTGGGAGGCCGAGGTGGGCAGATCACGTGGTCAGCCTGAGAAACATGGTGAAATCCCGTCTCTACCAAAAATAGAAAAATTAGCTGGGTGTGGTGGCACGCACCTGTAATCCCAGCTACTCAGAAGGCTGAGGTAGGAGAATGGCTTGAACTCTGGTGGTGGAGGTTGCAGTGAGCCAAGATCGCACCACTGCACTCCAGCCTGGGCTACAGAGAAAGACTCCATCTCAAAAAAAAAAAAAAAAGAAAAAAAAATTTATACTGGCATAAAACCACTTTTCTATACCTTCAAGATAAACCTGAAACCAGAGGAGCTACACTGATCTTAAGAAGGAATATGACAGAAACAGAAACTAATTTGTAATTCAGAGACTGGCCATTATTGAAGCAGGTTTTAGAAATAAAAAACAAAACCTCTTAGAATTTTACTAAGAATAAATTAATGTCTTAAGAAACTGCTGTTGTTTTAACAGAGGGGACCAAAATTTTAAGTTCCGTGTCATGTTTTAACATCCAAATGCATTCTTTAACAAAAACTGCTATAGACTAGGCACAGTGGCCCACGCCTGTAAATCCAGCACTGTGGGAGGCTGGGATCACCTGAGGTCAGGAGTTCAAGACCAGCCTGGCCAACATGGTGAAACCCCATCTCTACTAAAGATACAAAAATTAGCCAGGTATGGTGGCAGGCACCTGTGATCCCAGCTACTTGGGAGGCTGAGGCAGGAGAATCGCTTGAACCCAGGAGATGGAAGTTGCAGTGAGCAGAGATTGCACCACTGCACTCCAGCCTGGGCGAACCAGTGAGACTCCATCTCAAAAAAAAAAAAAAAAAAACTGTTACAAATAATTTCATTTAATTATAGCCAACTTAATCACACCCAACATTTTCTTTTTTAAAAAATATTTTTTTAATTGTATTTTAGATTCTGGGGTACATGTGCAGATCATGCAGGATTGTTGCATAGGTACATACATGGCAATGTGGTTTGCTGCCTCCACCCCCTGTCACCTATATCTGGCATTTCTTCCCCTGTTATTCCTCCCCAACCTCTCTACCCCCCACTGTCCCTCCCCTAGTCCCCCTCTAATAGGCCCCAGTTTGTGATGCTCCCCTCCTTGTGTCCATGTGTTCTCATTGTTCAACACCTATCTATGAGTGAGAACATGCACTGTTTGATTTTCTGTTCTTCTGTCAGTTTGCTGAGAATGATGGTTTCCAGATTCAATCATGTCCATACAAAGGACACGAACTCATCGTTTTTTATGGCTGCATAGTATTCCATGGTGTATATGTGCCACATTTTCCTTATTCAGTCTATCATTGATAGGCATTTGGGTTGGTTCCAGGTCTTTGCTATTGCAAACAGTGCCACAATGAACATATATATGCGCATGTGTCTTTATAATAGAATGATTTATAATCTTTTGGATATATACCCAGTAATGGGATTGCCGGGTCAAATGGAATTTCTATTTCTAGGCCCTTGAAGAATTGTCACACTGTCTTCCACAATGGTTAAACTAATTTACACCCTCACCAACAGTGTAAAAGTGTTCCTATTCTCCACATCCTCTCCAGCATCTGTTGTCTCCAGATTTTTTAATGATCGCCATTCTAACTGGAGTGAGATGGTATCTCAATGTGGTTTTGATTTGCATTTCTCTAATGACCAGTGATAATGAGCATTTTTTCATATGTTTGTTGGCCTCATGCATGTCTTCTTTTGAAAAGTGTCTTTTCATGTCCTTCGCCCACTTTTGAATGGGTTTGTTTTTTTCTTGTAAATCTGTTTTAGTTCTTTGTAGATTCTGGATATCAGCCCTTTGTCAGATGAGTAGATTGCAAAAATTTTTTCCCATTCTGTTGGTTGCCGGTTCACTCTAATGAGTGTTTCTTTTGCTGTACAGAAGCTCTGGAGTTTAAGTAGATCCCATTTGTCTATTTTGGCTTTTGCGGCCAATGCTTTTGGCGTTTTAGTCATGAAGTCCTGCCTATGCCTATGTCCTGAATGGTTTGGCCTAGGTTTTCTTCTAAGAAAGAAAGCTTTCTAAGAAGAAAGTTTTTATGGTGTTAGGTCTTATGTTTAAGTCTTTAATCCATCTGGAGTTAATTGTAGTGTAAGGTGTCAGGAAGGGGTCCAGTTTCCGTTTTCTGCTCATGGCTAGCCAGTTATCCCAACACCATTTATTAAACAGGGAATACTTTCCCCACTGCCTATTTTTGTCTGGTTTGTCAAAGATCAGATGGTTGTAGATGTGTGGTGTTGCCTCTGAGGCCTCTGTTCTGTTCCATTGGTCTATATCTCTGTTTTGGTACCAGTACCATGCTGTTTTGATTACCGTAGCCTTGTAGTATAGTTTGAAGTCAGGTAGCGTGATGCCTCCAGCTTTGTTCTTTTTGCTTAAGATTGTCTTCATTATGTGGGCTCTCTTTTGGTTTCATATGAAGTTTAAGGTGCTTTTTTTTTTTTCCAGTTCTGTGAAGAGGGTCATAGGTAGCTTGATGGGGATAGCATTGAATCTGTAAATTACTTTGGGCAGTATGGCCATTTTCACAATATTGATTCTTCCTAACCATGAGCATGGAATGTTTTTCCATCTGTTTGTGTCCTCTCTTATTTCCTTGAGCAGTTGTTCGTAGTTCTCCTTGAAGAGGTCCTTTACATCCTTTGTTACACCCAACTTTTTCATCATAAGTTCCCATTCCCAAGCCTTGTCATGACTTAGTCAGACACCTGTGACATGCTTGGACTTGCCTGGTATTTCCTCTTCCTTAAACGTCTAGTTGTTTTAGTCTAGGACTGACATTGACCACACAAGATTCTTTCCTATCCAAAATTATTCTCATTGCTTCACATTGTAACTTTCTTTACAGCTCCCTCTCATCTACTTACCGCTTTCTTTTATCTTTTTTCTATTTCTTTCTTAAGTCCATATTTTAAAACTCCCTTTAAATAACTTCTAAATTAGACAAAATTACTTTTTTCTCAATAAAGAACATGGTTTTTTTTGTTTTTTTAGAGACAGGGTTTCACCATGTTGGCCGGGATGGTCTCGATCTCTTGACCTCATGATCCACCCACCTTGGCCTCCCAAAGGGCTGGGATTACAGGCGTGAGCCATTGCGCCCGGCAAGAACATGTTTTATACCTTTCTTTTTGTTTTCTTATTAAGCACACCTTACTTTTGGCATACTTCCTATATAGATTTGTATATTAGGTTTTTAAAAATCCTTATTACTCTTAAATCTTTGTTTTTAATTATCCTTTTCTTTTTTTGAAAAAGGGTCTGTTTCAAAATGATGAAACAGGGCCTTGCTCCATCACCAAGGCTGGAGGGCAGTGGCATGATTTTGGCTTAATGCAGTCTCAACCTCTCTGGCTCAAGTGATCCTCCCACCTCAGCCTCCTAAGTAGCTGGGACTACGGTAGGTATGTGCCACCACCGCTGGTTAATATATATATTTTTTTCGTAGAGACACAATATTGCCATGTTGCCCAGGCTGCTCTGGAACTCCTGGTCTCAAACGATCCTCCTGCCTCAGCTTCTCAAAGTGCTGGGATTACATGAGCCACAGTGACCGTCCAGTACCCTTAAATTTTATTAAAAGCATATGAAACACAAAATCTTGAATTGCGTATCCCATATTGGTATTTTATGGAGAAGATCGATTTTGTGATTGTTAGAAAAACATGTTTCCCTTGGCTGGTCGCAGTGGCTCACGCCTGTAATCCCAGGACTTTGGGAGGTGGAGGCAGGTGGATCACGAGGTCAGGAGTTTGAGACCAGCCTGGCCAACACAGTGAGATGCAATCTCTACTAAAAATACAAAAATTAGTTGGACGTGGTGGCACGTGCCTGTAGTCCCAACCACTCAGGAGGCTGAGGCAGGAGAACAGGAGAATCACTTGAACCTGGGAGGTGGAGGTTGCAGTGAGCCGAGATTGTGCCACTGCACTCCAGCTTGGGCAACAGAGGGAGACTCTGTCTCAAACAAAAAAAAAAAAAAAAAAGAAAAAGAAAAAGAAAAACATGTTGTCCCTACAGCATAATTTTTATACATATTTATAGGCCCAAACATATTCAGTCTTTATATTAAATTTCAGAAGCCAAAGGCAAACATATTTATGGTCAGCAATTTGTTCCAGTTTTTGTCTTATTTGGAAATGACTCACATAGTTAATGAGTATCCATTATTTAATTGAAGATTTCAAATTACATAAAAAGTTGATAGATACTTATCCCATTTACCTTTACATATTTTATTTATTTTAGCAGTTTATCAGGATTACTTATGAGAACGGATAGATTAGACAAATCTATCAGTTTCCAAATTACTTACCTGTTAATTTTCTTTGTATAGCTGCACCTCAGACAACTATCATAAAAGTAAGAACCTTTCAGTTAAATTTCAGAAGACACATCATTCCCATCAAACCAGCAATTTTAGACTAATCCCATTCACCAAAAGATTACTGTTATGTGAACTTGAAAAGCACCGGGTCTTATTTGCTGAGTTTATGAGTACTCATTTCTTTAAAAGCCAATTCAGTACCATAGACAAATGCAACCAGACCTGTACATACTACCACTTACAAATAATGATCTTGTAGCTTTAACGTTTAAAGGTTTAGCCACGGGTCAGGTAAAATTCACTACTTAAAAGACAGATTCCTACTCTGTATCTGTCCAATGAACAATTTTAGCTAAAATTTATCTGTCCCATACAGCAGGAGCCCTTTACGGAATTTCAGAAAGAACACAGTAGAAAGGAGACAGGCAAAGGTGTGGCTCTAACATCAGTTAGAAAAACAGGTCACCAGGCGAGGTGGCTCACGCCTGTAACCCCAGTACTTTGGGAGGCCAAGGCGGGCAGATCACGAGTTCAGGAGTTCAAGACCAGCCTGACCAAAATGGTGAAACCCCATCTCTACTAAAAATACAAAATTTAGCCGGGCGTGGTGGCGTGCACCTGTAGTCCCAGCTACTCAGGAGGCTGAGACAGAATAATTGCTTGAACCTGAGAGGTG